AGAGTCAGATACTTAACCAACTGAGCCACCCAGGTGCCCCACCTTAGGAGCTTCTCATATCACTTCACTTGATTCAACACATTTAAATCAGCACATGTTATATTTTGCAGTCAAGGAAAGGTGACTACAAGCCATGAATCTTGCTGATGTATTATTGTGACTTAGGCTGGTTATCCTCCAAATGTAAAGATCATCTTTCTATTCTAGAGAGCAAAATTTACATATTTTGGGTTATTGTGTAAAATTTTGGAGTATTTATTATTTGAGTTATTTATAAACAATGGTTGGGAACTTAACAGAAGGTCCTTGTGAATGTTGAGTCCAGAGCGATAAGGGGGCTTTTGCCTTCAGAGACCACATTATCTGTGGAGGCAGGGTGTGCAGCAGAATCTGACCACACGAAGTCACTGATAAGTACCACTTGAAATGGGGATCTTGGTACTTGCTGTTCCCCTTGAAGGGCTTACCTCAAATAAAGCTTACTTAAGGTTGGTTTTCAGTTGTCACCTCCAACTATAAGCTTTCACCTGACCGTATTTAAAAATAGCAACATCCCTCCCCTGCATTTTTTACGCTCCTTCCCTGCTTTATGGTCTCCATAGCATGTGTTGGCATCTTGTTTTTCATTCTCTCACTATGGCAGGGAATTTTTGCTGCTTTATCTGCATGGTCTAAAACAACTTGTGGCATTTGATAAATGTTCACTAAGGAGTATATAAATGAATGGATAGGGAAGACATTTCACCACTGCTTAAACTTGGAAGGAACGCTAGGACCTAAGCCTCCAGGTTAGCTAGGAGAAAAAAGGCCTGAGGCATCCCAGGTAGAGGGCAAAGTCATGAAGAATTTGCCTGCTGTACTGGAAGCCCCTATTTTGTATGAGCTTACTTTTTACTTGTTATAAAGTCACTTTCAGATACTTCAAAACTGTTGATTTACAAGTTTAAGTATCAAGAGCTATTACCACTTGTGTATATTGTTGTGTGGCACATTGTATCCATACCTCCATTGTGATGTCATCAAATCATCTCAGGTAAAGGACAGACAGCTCCAGCCAGCTTGTAACTTTACTATTATCAGTACATTTATGTCGCTTTTTCTTGCGCATTGATTAGTATGTTTTATCCACCTTGGTTGTTACAATGAAGAAACAGGATAAGGTAAAAATTCTAATGGCCTTTTTTTTTTTTTTTTTTAAGAACTGGAACATAGCCACCTGTGGTTCCATCCTCAATTTCATTCCACTCTTTCCCCTCAGGAACTCTTAAGTACTGTCTGGATTATATTAATCATCACCTGTATGGTATTCCTAAATACAATATCTTGTGTAGTGTAGTTTTGAAACACTAATCTGGCTTTATGAGGGTAATAGTTACTACCAGTTGATGAAGGCATGCTTGAGCTGAATGGTCTCTGAGCCTGAGTTCCACATCTAGAATTTACAAGAGCCCCAGGTGGAGATGTCATTGAACCAGATGATGAGTGAATCCTAGGGAACACAAGTCCCCTCAGTTGAAACATCTTGGATCTCCTGCATAAATATGCTTAGTGGCTGAATGCTCATTTTATATTTTCTGCTTCTAAGGTCACCGTGATCTAAAGATCAATGCAGAACCTTCCTGTGGAGTGAAATGGGTGTCCTCAGCTCATGTAGATGTCAGAATGGGAAGGGAAGAACAAGCACTCCAATGGGACATGGTCAAATAAGCCAAGTATAGAACAGAATGGGAGCCAGATACACTAGGACATACTGTCCTCCCATTAAAAGGCAATGAATATCTTGCTCACAGCAGCCTTCAACCTGGCAGTTTTTCATTACACGCCTTCAGATATGGACTGGTTGCCTTCTAGTTTTTCCAGCTGTTATCTTGGGAGTTACTTTCCCTCTTGTGTTGAATTGCCTATTTGCTGTATGTTTTACTCACATTGTGGAGCACATCCTCCAGTAATTCTTGAGACAGGGTATGTGGGAAGTCAACTTCTTGAAACCCTGCATGTTGAAAAATACACTCAAGTCTCATATTTGATAAATACCTCGGCTGGGTATGAAATTATAGGTTGTAGATTATTTTCCCTCTGAAGTTTAGAGGATTCCCCCCCCCCCATTTTATAAATTTACTGTATGGGAATCTGAAGCCATTCTGATTCCTAATATTTTGTATGTTGTTATTTTTTTCATCTCCGTAGAATTCTGTCTCTAGCATTCTGAAGTTTCACGATGTTACAGATCTATTTTCATCTATTGTGTGGTGTCTTTTCAATGGAGGCTCATGTCCTTTCACTTCTGGAAAGCGTTCAAGTTTTTTATTTTCTTCCCTGTGTTTTCTCCTTTTTTTTCTCTTGAATTGTTATTTGGAGTAGGACCTGCTGGACCAGAGGTACTCAAATTGCTTATGTTTCTCTCCCATCTCTGTGCCGTTTTACTCTACTTTCTGAAAGATTTCCCTAAGTGTATCTTCCAAACTTTGTTGAGTTTTTCATTTTTCCTAGAAGACTTTCAATTTCTAAGAGTTTTAGTTTTTATTTAGATTGCTTTTTTATTTGTTTTGGGCTTACATGCTAGAGTTTTTCTTCAGATCTTTGGAAATTCTTGTCGGCTCATTAAGACTAGAGAAAGGAGACACTGGAAATTCTGAATGGATAAGTGACGTTTGATAATTTTGAGCTTTATTGTAGTCTGAGTGAGCTCTTTGGGTATCTTTCCAGTGTTGGTATCTTTAAGTATTTTGTCATGGAATGGTTATATTCTCAGGGAAGTTTTCATTCTGCCTTGAGAGTAAGTCTGGTAGGCAGAGTTCTATGAGCCAGTAGAGGAAGGGGATTTGGCGTATTCTCTGCTTTCAGCATCACTATTCATGAAAGTAATCACTAGGTTAATCATCATATATGCACACATATGGCATCAACCTTGATTAATCAAGTCCCTATTTG